TTAGAAATAAGGATTTTGATGTAGATTGTTCATAATCTTTATGAATCATATTTTATTATCGTCATTTTAAGTGACTTCACACAGTGACCTCATCTACATATTAGCCCACTGAAGGTAAGAAGAAACTGAAGCTCAGAGAAGTGAGTTCACTTGAGCAAAGTCACCTAGCAAATAGGTGGCAGAGTCAGAATTTGAACTCACTTCTGAGGGTTTCCAGTCTCTTAACCACTGCACTATCCCGTCCAAGGCAGAAGACACGGCATCTCGGGGGAGCATAGGGAGTGCGGTTAGCTGTGTGACCCAAACAACACAATGTGGTCACTGTGCTGTTGTCATGGTTTAGGTTTGCTGAACCCTCACGACGTGGCAAACACTGTGCCAAGAGCTTTCATAATAATAACGGTGGCAGGTGCTCATATGGCTCTCACCAAGGGCCAGGCCCTACTCTAAGGGAGGCGTCTTAGTCATCTAGTGCTGCTGTAACAGAAATACCACCAGTGGATGGCTTTCACAAACAGAAATGTATCCTCTCACTGTTCAGGAGGCTAGAAGTCCAAATTCAGGCCACCAGCTCCTAGGGTAGGCTTTCTGTCTCTGCTGGCTCAGGGGTAAGATCCTTGTCATCAATCTTCCTCTGGTCTAGGAGCTTCTCAGCGGAGGCACCCTGGTCCAAAGGATGTGCTATTCTCCTGGCTCTTGTTTCTTGGTGTAGGAAGTCCCCCTCCTCTCTGCTCACTTCTTTCTTTCATATCTCAAGAGAGACTGACTCAAAACACAACCTAATCTTGTAGATTGAGTCCTGCCTCATTAACATAACTGCCTCTAATCCTGCCTCAACAACATCATAGAGATAAGATTTACAACACAGGAAAATCACATCAGATGACAAAATGGTAGACAATCACACACTAGGAATCATGGCCTAGCCAAGTTGACACACATTTTTGGGAGAAACAATTCAATCCCTAACAGGCTGTTACAGGCATTAATTCATTTGCTCCGTATACCAGTGCTCTGACGCAGATACCACCATTGTCTCCATGAGGTCCCAGAGGGTAGAATCACCATCAAAAGCTCACTGCGGAGCTGGGATTTGGACACAGGCAGTCTGGTTCTGTATGCTGTTCTCTTAACCCTCATACTTTCTATAAACCAAAACCCATTGCTGTAGAGTTGATTCCAACTCATAGCGACCCTATAGGACAGAGTAAAGCTGCCCCATAGGGTTTCCAGGGAGCAGCTGGTGGATTCAAACTGCCGACCTTTGGGTTAGCAACCAAGCTCTTAACCACTGTGCCACCAGGGCTCCATCATACTCCCTATAGTCTCTTGTAATCATCCCAACAATCCTATGGTGTAGGAATAACTATTACCCATTTTACAGATGACTAAACTGAGGCTCCAACTTGGACTCACTCACAGAGCCACAGACTTGAACTTTTGTCTGATCAGCACATCCATACTCTTGACCCCTGTTGTTGCCTGGCCGGAGGCCAGGGGCTCCAAACAGCCTCTGGAACGTCTTGGCTTGGGTCCCTTCCAGCCCTGGGGGGTCCCAGCCTCCCTCACTGTCATGAATTGAATAGTGTCCCCCCAAAAATGTGTGTAGCACCTTGGCTAGGTCATGATTCCCAGTATTGTATGATTGTGTTATCTGATATGATTTCCTTATGTGGTGTAAACTCTACCACTATGATGAGATTATATGTGATCTCCTCATGTGTTATAAATTCTGTCACTGTGATGAGGTTATACTGATGAGGTTGACAAGATTAGTGTCTTAATGCAATCTCTTTTGAGATATAAAAGAGAGAAGTGAGCAGAGACTCATGGGAACCTCGTACCACCAAGAAAGCAGTGCCGGGAGCAGAGTGCGTCCTTTGGACCTGGGGTCCCTGACGCAGAGAAGCTCCCAGACCAAGAGAAGACTGATGACAGGGACCTTCCTCCTGAGCTGATGGTGAAAGCGTTCCCCTGGAGCTGAAGCCCTGAATTTGGACTTGTAGCCTACTGGACTGTGAGAGAATAAACTTCTCTTTGCTAAATCCATCCCCTTGTGGTACTTCTGTTAGAGCAGCACCAGATGATTGAGACACTCACCTTCTTGTGATGCTCCTTCATCTTTCCTTTGGCCTATTTCATTTCTGCTTGCAGGTTTGTAAGTGCTCATTGGATATTATATGAATTAAGTCTGTTTTTCCCCCACATCCGTTTTTTTTCATACAAAATGTTTGTTTTATACAGTTCAACAGGTTCACCTTTTATTTTATAGATTCTAGATTTCCAACCTTGGTTAAAAAAGTCTCTTGACTACTGGGGAGTCGGGGAGCTGGTGGCAGCCTCCTCTTGCCTCCCTCTCTCCCTCCTAAGACCTCTCCTTTTGTGTGTGTGTGTTGGGGGGGGTTGATTTCTACTTGTCAGTTTGTAAGCACTCTCTTTACATATTATAACCATTAACTCTATGCTGTCCTCAATGTTGCAAGACTTTTCCCCAAGTCTTTTGTATATTGACTTGCAAAGGTTTTTAAGTGCCATTCAAATATATCCATCTCATATGTCACAGATTCTGGATTTCCAAGTTCGGTTAGGAATGTCTCCAGCTCCAAAGGGGTGGAGGTCTCCCTCCCCATCTCTTCCTCTCCTGTCCCACCCCCTTCCCCTTCTGGGCCCCTCTCCCCATCTCCAGCTGCCCAGACCCAATTTTGGCACCGCCCTCATGTTCCCCACTCAGCTAGACCCTCTAGATTAGCCTTAAACCCTGAAACCAGTCCCACAGCCCCTGCTCAGGGTTCCCGAACCCCCTGAACCCCCCCCCCTGCACTCACCTATCCAAGCTCACACACCCTGGGACCCTAGATCTAGCCTTGGCACCCTCCCAAGCCAGCCCCAAAGTCCCAGAGCAAGACCCCAGCTCCTAAACTTGTAGCCTCAGACCCAGCCTCCCCAGCCCCCACCCCAGCTCATCCTTCTAGAACCCCCCCAGACCCTGGATCTCTCAGCACACGGCACCCCCTGGTGATCATTTTTTCTTCTGTTGCAGTTGTTACTGATGCCTTGGAGATCCCTCATCCACAAGCGCCATACAGCGCTGGGCCCCTCACCTAGCCTTGTCCCTGGGGTCTACTGAGGGCAACGAGACCCAAGAGAAAGCTTTCTGGCTACCCCCCACCCTGCCTTCCCTGCAATACAGGCCTTTTGAAGTTGTCTCTGTCTGCTACCTCTTTGTGCTTGGGACCTAAGTCTACATAGGACTGGGGGAGGCGGCAGCAGGGCCATCAGCTCTGGGTCAGCCCATGCCTGGGACAAGGCCGTGATGGGGACAGGACTGCAGATTCTGACGTGGATATAGGGGTGCACAGAGACACGCCCCTACAGAAGGACAGATGTATGGCAAGTATTCAACCAGCTTGCAAGGGGGCACTGTTGGCTAATAGGTAAATATTGAAATGCTTCCCACACCTTTTGGTGAATAGTGGATTTCCACGTGACCGACAGAATGCCCCATGTTTCTGCAGTTAAAAGGCTAATGCCTGACACAGCAAGGAACCTTCCAGGACCTGCCCCAGATTAGGACCAGGGCCCATTGAATGATCTGGCTGGAACCCAAGCCTTAACTAACCAACCAACCAAGCTGCTGTTGAGTTGATTCTGACCCATGGCAACCCCATGTGTTGCACAGCAGAACTGTGCTCCATTGGGTCTTCATGACTGTGATCTTCCCGGAAGCAGAGCACCAGGCCAAGGCACCTTTCAGGGATCCTACCCAGGCCTTAGGGGTTGTTAAAAACTTTTCACCCCTCTCCTCCCCAGCACATGGGTGACACCTTAATTCAAATTTGTATATTTCTGTTCATGTTGCAATTTGTCCCCACACCACACCCATCACCATATTTGGGAAGAGGACCCTTGATGGATAGCTGGGTATGGGGGCTTTGGCAGTGGTTAAGAGTTTGGCTGCTAACCGAAAGGTCAGCAGTTTGAATCTACCAGCCACGCCTCGGAAACCCTATGGGGTGGATCTACTCTGTCCTGCAGGGTCACATGAGTCAGAATTGACTGGACGGCAACGGGTTGGTTTGTTTTGGTTTTTGTTTTTTTTTTTGGTTTAGGGGAGCCGAGGAAAGGAAATAAAGGCCTGGGGACAGTTCTGGGGGGGCTGATAACTTGGGATTGGAGGGAGGAGGAAATTCTGTGAGTTAAGAGATACGGGATGTTAGGATGCTAAGAAGCTATAAATTGGGGTTGTGTGAAGAGGTCAGAGGTCAGAGGTCACAGGAGGTGGGAAGGGGACGGTGAGAGGTGCTAAGGACCAAGGGTTCGGGATGTGCTAATGGGATATAAACCAGTGAAGTTCTTGGAGCAGAGACCAGGGAAGTGCCGAGGCATCCTTGGCCACATATATTTCCTCATTCACTCAACAAAGATTTATTGAGCACCTACCATCTCTCAAGCACTGGATCAGGAAGACGTGGCCCCTGCCCTCATGGAAGTTGGAGAATACAGGGGACATGGCAAAGAGTCAAACATTTAAGAATGTGCAAAGATGTCAAATGAGAAGCCAAAGGCCCAGGCAGAAATGAAGGGGGCTAGGAGGTAGCAGACAATTAAGAAGATGCTGAGAAGTTACGAAGGTATTAAGGGATCAGGGAGGTGCTAAGGGGTCAAGGAGACACTAAGGGATCAGAAAGACACTGAGGGGTCGGGGAGACACTGAGGGTCGGAGAGACACTGAGGGGTCGGGGAGACACTGAGGGGTCGGGGAGACACTGAGGGGTTGGGGAGACACTGAGGGTCGGAGAGACACTAAGGGATCAGAGAGGTGCTAAGGGGTCAGGGTGGTGCTAAGTGTCAGGGTGGTGCTAAGGGTCAGGGAGGTGTTAAGGGGTCAGGGTGGTGCTAAAGGGTGAGGGAGGTGCTAAGGGTCAGGGAGGGGCTAAGGGTCAAGGCAGAGCTCTGGGAGTGTAGATGTGGCAGGGTCGGAGCAGGCACGGAGTCCGCAATCACTCCCTGAGCTGTACAGACACGGAGGAGTCAGTCACCCTTGTCCTCCGCAGCCCACCAGCCTCCAGCTGGTTCTTGGTCTTGTGCATGAAGTGCACGAAGCGCACTCCGGGGCCGTACTGGCGGAATACGTGGGACACCTGTGGCACCCCAAGGGTTAGGAAGAAGTTCCTTATTAAGGACCCACGAACCCCACTTTCCTTCCTCTTCCCTCCGTGAACACACAGCTGGGGTCTCACCTGGACCCAGCGCCCGGGGGGGCCTGTCCCAGGGGTCCGGGGGGCCACGTGGTACTGCGCTATAACAGCGCGTCGGTCAGCAGCCAGCAGCCAGACATGCAGCTCATAGACACACGAGTCCAGACGACTGTCTTCATACCTGGGGGTGGGGCCTAGGTCTTCAGCTGCCACACCGCAGGCGCAGCGTCCCCGCCCCAAGCCCTGACCACATTAGCCATTCCACACACACTCACGGCACCCACTCTGTGCACAGCCCTGGGCTGGCAACCAAGACAGCCCCACGTCCTGCCCTCATGGGCTTATACTACAGTGGAGAAGGAAGACGTGTCACCAAAGACTGACAGCAAGGCTGGGATTGGGAGGTGCAGGCGGAGGCGTCGGGGCCAGGGCAGGGGAGGTGCAGGGAGGCAGAGGGGTCGGGGCCTGGGGCGGGGAGGCACGAGCACTGGAGCGCAGCGTCTGACCCAACTGGTGGTGGTGGTGGCGAGTGATCAGGGAAGGCATCTGGAGGAGGCATGTGTACCTGACTCCTGAAGGATAAGGAGAAACTAGCTTCAAGAACAGAGGGGACAGGCAGCCGAGAAAGAAGGAACAGCCTTGGCAAAGTCTCAAAGATATAAGCAGCTTGCACGTTTCAAGAACTAAAAGACTCTAAGAGAAGAAGCCAGAGAGGTGGGCAGGGCCGGATCGTGCAGGACCAGGAGCTCAGACCAGAGGGGAGGCTGGGCGAGGTTGGGGCTGGGGGCGGCCTGTGTGGGGCCATACCAGTCCATGACAGTGATGTCCGGCTGCTTGTTATCCAGCAGCTCCTCCCACAGGCCCTCAGCCAGCAGGTCCACGCACTGCTGCTTCGCCGTCCAGCTGTGAAAAGAGCAGGCCGAGAGGGGGGGCGCCAGGACCCGCTGGAGCCCCGGCCCAGGGAGCAGGAACCCCCACCGTAATAATATCAGTGGCACCACATATGGGGTGCTGACCGCTCCCCAGGAATTTTCCAGTCTCAGTTCCCATGAGTCCCCGGAGGATGCGTTCTGAACCCATTCTGCAGATGAGAAAACCGAGGCTCAAGGTGGGAAGTGGCTTGCCCAAGGTCAAGCAGCAAGGAAGTGGCACGGCTGGGATCTAACCCCGGTGTGCATGACCGAGCCACGCAGTTGCGCCATCTGCCACTGTGCAGAAAGTGGGCTCTGTTTAATGGTGGCCTGGGGCGACTCTTCCTCTCCTAGGAAAAGGGGCGGAGAGTAATAATAATAGGTGCCATTTATTGAGCATCTACTATGTGCTAAAACCCCATGTGTGTCAGTAAAACTGTGCTTCATAGTTTTCAGTGGTAGATTTTTTGGAGGTAGATCACCAGGGCTTTCTTCCAAGGTGCCTCTGGGGGGACTCGAACCTCCAGCCTTTCCGTTGGCAGCTGAGTTCGTTAACCATTTGCACCTGCACCACACAGGGAGCTAGACCCTATGCTGAGTGTTTTACGAGCATGCCCTCCTGTCACCAACCCTGTTTAAACCGATCCGGAAACTGAGACCCAGAGAGGCAAGGCCAGGTTCTCCAGGTCCCACAGCAAGGAAGGCTGAAGCCGGGATTCAAACCCAGGTCACACGGGGCGCTGGCGACTCACCTGCGGTGCTGCTGGAGCTTTTCTGTGCTAATCACCCACCCGCTGAAATTGCCTGGCAGGAGGAGGAGCAAAGCGTTAGAACATGCCCATTCTAGGCAACGACCACCCCTCCCCTCAGCGCCCCCTCACCCAGCACTCACCGAGACTCTCCAGGGGTTGCTGGGTGGGGCCGGTACTGGGTGCTGGCTCATAAATGTTGATACCTGAAATGCGGGTGACTGGCCTCAGGTTTGGCGAGGTTCCCACCCCCCCCCCCACCCCCCCACACATCCCCACCATTCCCTCCCCCTAGTGCCCGGCCCGCAGGGCCAGACTAGGCTGGCAGAGATGAATGAGTCAGGCGCCCCTTCCAGAGAGCGCCCTGAGAATGTCAGGGTGGGAGGTGGGAGGGATGGGAGATAGGGTGAGGGATGGGGAGGGGCTATTGAGAGACAGAGGGACAAAGAGGTCCCAAGAGAAAGAGATAGAGAAGCATAGGCACAGAGAGAGAGAAATGGAGACAGAGAAAGAAAGATACAGAGAAACAGGGTTAACAGGGAGAGAAAGGCGCAATGACAGAAAAACAGACGGGTGGAAAGAAATAGAGAGGGACAAGGAGACAGGGGCAGGGTGGAGAGAGAGACGTGGAAGCACGGAGGTGGACAGATGAAGAGACAGACGGTCTGGGTCAGCCGCCGGCGGGGGCCAGGCCGCGCACCTTCGGGGTTGGGCGAGCGCAGCAGGTTGCGGTAGAGCGGCCGGTGCAGGAAGATCAGCCTCCAGCTGAGGCCCGCCGGCAGCTGCAGGCTCCCGCCCTGCGGCCCCCACTCCTTCAGCAGCAGCTGCCGCGCGTGCGCCTCGGACGGCTGCTCCGGCTCCGGGGACGCGCGGGGCTCCGGGGCGGCGGGCGACGGCAGCGGCGAGGGGAGTGAGGGCGGCGAGGGCGGCTCCGGGGGGCTCCCGTCTGCCTCCGTCCCGCTACTGAGCGTGTGTCCCTCTGCAACCTCCGCCATCGGTCGGGTCTGGGCGACTGTCCCCGGCTCCTCAGGGTTTGGGGTTAAGGGAGGGGGCGGGAGGAGGCGGGGAACCCGAGCAGGTGTTTAAAAAAGGGGCTTGTTAGGGGAAGGATCCCGGCCTTCAGTCGCTCCTCCCTCAGACCTGGGAGTCCGGCCCCCAGCCCCCTCCTCCCTCAGAGGTCATGAGGAGTTTGGAGTGAGGGCTGGGGAGATGGTGGAGTAGGAGGTGGGGTGCAGAGGAAGTGAGCGGTGGAGGAACCTGTAGGGCCAGATTCCCGCAGCCACTTCCCACACGTGACCACAACCCACACCCCGGTAATCACAGGCACAGAACCCCACAGGCTGTCAGCAACAACAACCACAGTGAGTGTGTTCTGCCTGCCAGACGCTGTTCTAAGTGCTTGTAAGTTAATTAAATTCATCCTTCTAGAAACGGCAAGGAGGTGGTGGTTATGTGCCCTCCAGTGGGTTTGACTCCCACTCATAACGACCCTAGAGGACAGAGGAGAACTGCCCCATACGGGTTCCAAGGAGCGGCTGGTGGATTCGAACTAGGAACTTTTTGCTTAGCAGCCAAACGCTTAACCACTGAGCCACCAGGGCTCCGGCAGTGAGGTAGGTACTAATATTGTTGGCGTTTTATAGATAAAAGAAAGATACCAGCAAACGTGTGTGGAGCTGTGTACTGCACCGATGCTCTAACACCCGTCTCACCCACAGGCAACCCTGTGAGGGGTGCTGTGTTATCGCCATTTTACAGGTGGAGAGACAGAGCCCACCATCACAGATAACCCCACATGCTTCCGCAGGTGCTCCCTGCCCCAGATTCCCGAGACACAGAAAGACAGGCTCCAGAAGCTCACAGACACTCGGGAGTAGAACCTACGCCTGAATGACGATGTTCGGGTCACCGACCTCATGGAATGCGGGCCAGACATTGCCAATCTGAATTCCTTGGGTGGGGCAATTAAGTTAATCTCCACACCCACCCTCGGAAGTAGATTTGCCCGTTTTGCAGATGAGGAAACGGAGGCACAGAGAGGTCTAGTAATTCACCCAAGGTTGCACAGCTGGTAGCTGGCAAGTTGGACACACCGATCAAACCCAAAACCTGTTGCTGGCAAGTCGATTCTGACTCATAGACACCCACCTGTTGCCATCAAGTCCCCACTCACAGCAACCTTCTAGGAGAGAGCAGAACTACCCACAGGGTTTCTAAGGAGCAGCTGGTGGATTCCAACTGTCAACCTTTTGGTTAGCAGCCTGAGCTCTTAACCACTGTGCCACCAGGGCTCCATAGACACCATTCCCCCGCCCCCACCCCCCAAAAAAACCAAATCCGTTGCCGTTGAGTTGATTCCGACTCATAGCAGCCCTGTAGGACAGAGTAGAACTGTCTCGTAGAGTTTCCAAGGGGCGGCTGGTGGATTCAAACTGCCGACGTTTTGTTCACAGCCGTAGTACCTAACCGCTGCACCACCAGGGCTTCCATAGACACTGACACAGTCTTAAATCAGATACACAGGGACAGAGATTTAGTCACCCCCAGGGAGAAATACAGAAACAGACAGGCAAGCAAATGCTTGCATTTATTGTCCACTGTGTTAACTCATTTAACCGCTCTACAGCCCTACCCTGTGGGAACTGGTAATAGTATCCCTGTTTACAGATGAGGCAACTGAGGCAAGAGAGCTGAAGTGAATTAGCCAGGGCCCTGGGGGCGGGAGGAATCCATGGGCGTGACAAACCCACTAAGGTACCAGAGACGCTAGCGCCCCCGAACCTGGAAGTCCCCAGGAGGCTCCCAAACGCTCGCAGAGCCCCGGACACGCGTACAATCGGAAACACGGCCCCGGCCACGCAAGCACACAATCCCACCGCCTTGTCCCGGCCACCCACCCAGCCTGCCTCGTCCGAGGAGGAAGAGGAGGAGGAAGGGCAGAGCCCGGAGGAGGAGTGGCTGGTGAGTGGAGTCAACCCTGTTCCCGGGTCAGAGTCCAGGGCAGGGCATGCAGCAGGAAGGGCCAGGAGGAGGCTCGCAGAGGGTGGAGAACCGAGATTGACGCCCCACCTCCGCCTGCCCCCGAGCCTGGCCAGAGTTCTTTTTTCTTCCTTCCTTCCTTCCTTTTTAAAGAGGTAATTAAAAAAATTTTTTTTATCAAGAAATGAGGATAAACCTCTCATTTTTCAACATGAACAGTAATAGTAAAATGCATCAATAAAATAACTCCAAATTCTCTACTTACTGACTTGGCCACATCTACAGTTCTCCCATCCCTTTAAGCTTTTTTTCCTCCTATTCATACACATGGAACCCTGGTGGCGCAGTGATTAAGAGCTTGGCTGCTAACCAAAAGGTTGGCAGTTTGAATCCACCAGCATCTTTGAAACCCTATGGGGCAGTCCGACTCTGTCCTACGGGGCCACTATGAGTGGGAATTGACTTGATGACAATGGTTTTATTCATATATATATATTTTTTAATTGTGGTGAAACTATACACACCAAAACATTCGCCAACATAAGCTCCACATTTACAATTCAATGACACTGATGACCTTTTCCGTATCATGCCACCATTATTACTATCCTTTTCCAAAACGTTCCACCCCCATTAACATAAACTCAGTGTCCCCCAAACAAAAGCTCCCCTTTCCCTCTCACTCCCACCCCCAGTAACCGTTACTAATCTTTGGTTGCTGCATATTTGCTTATTTCATATAAGTGAGATCATCCAGCGTTTGTCCTTTTGTGACTGACTTATTTCACTCAGCATGCTGTTTTCAAGGTTCATCCATGTCATGGGCTGGCCAGGGTTTTCACATCGTCTGGACTCTTCATCCCCTTCTGTTCTACATACATGTGGCAGCCAGAGAGGTCTTCCTAAAGCCCAAACCCAACCAGTCACTCTCCCACTTAAACCGTGGCTCCCCAGTGCCCTCAGGGAAAAAAATGCCAGCCATGTTGCCAGCATTCAAGGCCCTGGATTTCTGGCCCCTGCCTCCGTGATCTGTTCTGTCTCATCTCGGGGCTTTTGCTCATGAACTTCTCTCCACCTGGAATGTCCATCCCTCTCACCCACAGCCCCACACTGAATGGTTCCCAAACTTGAGGGTACATCAGATTCACCTAGGGAGCTTATTTAAAATGTGTATTTCTAACTCCTACCCCCAGGAGTCTGGCTCAGTCCCTCTGGGATGGACTTCAGAATCTGCAATTTAAGAAGCCCCCTTCTCTTTATAAAGAAAACGTTCTACATTCTACCTGGGTGAGTAGCATCTGGGGTCCTAAAAGTCTGTCAGCAGCCATCTAAAATACTCCATTGGTCTCAGCCCTTCGGGAGCAAGGAAGAATGAAGAAAACTGCCATTACAAGGGAAAGATTAGTCCAAAGGACTAACGGACCACAACTCCCACAGCCTCCACCAGACTGAGTCCAGCACAACTAGCTGGTGCCCGGCTACCACCACCGACTGCTCTGACAGGGATCACAGTAGAGGGTCCTGGACAGAGCTGGAGAAAAATGTAGAACAAAATTCTAAATCACAAAAAAAGACCAGACTTACTGGCCTGACAGAGAAACTGGAGAAACCCCGAGAGTACGGCCCCCAGACACCCTTTTAGCTCAGTCATGAAGTCACTCCCGAGGTTCACCCTTCAGCCGAAGATTAGACAGCCCCATAAAACAAACTGAGACTAATGGGGCACATCAGCCCAGGGGCAGGGACTAGCAGGCAGGAGGGGACAGGAAAGCTGATAACAGGGAACCAAGGTTGAGAAGGGCGAGTGTTGACATGTCGTGGGGTTGGTAACCATTGTCATAAAACAATATGTGAACTGTTTAATGAGCAATTAGTTCTGTAAACCTTCGTCTAAAGCACAATTAAAAACAGAGAAGAAACAGCTCCCTTCCCGACCCAGGTGATTCAGGGGATTCCCGACATACGATGTGAAACACTTTTACTCAAATCGGAGGGAATCAGAGGTACTACTGGAGAGTCAAGTGGATTCCAGTGGGAAGTCTTGAACTTCTCTCTGCCCCTTGTTTTGTTATCATTAGCAGCCGTGGAGTCAGCCCCCAACTCATGGCAATCCCACGCACGGTGGAATGAAACACGGCCAGGTCCTGCACCATCCCCGTGATCAGCTGTAGATGGCACTGTTGTGATCCATAGGATTTTCATTGGCTGATTTTCAGAAGTAGATTGCCAGGCCTTTCTTCCTAGTCTGTCTTAGTCTGGAAGTTCTGCTGAAACCTGTTCAGCATAAGAGCCACACGCAAGCCTCCATGGATAGACGGGTAGTAGGACTGCATGAGGTGCACTAGCCAGGAATCGAACCCGGGTCTCCACATAAAAGGTGAGCATTCTACCACTGAACCACCCCTGCCCCCCTCCCCACCTTAGGAACCAGTAAAGATCCCAGTGTAGGGCTGCCCTCAGCCTCTGAAAGTCTATTTTCCAAACAGCCCAAGACCTGGGTGAGCACCCCAGCGCTCCTCCCAAAAAGCCACTTTGCATGTATCGTGGAACATGAGAAAGCATGAGCAATAGTGAGTCCGCTTTGGAAGACAATTTGGCAGTTTCTTATAAGACCAGACATACACCCGCCCTGCAACCCAGCAATCCTGCCCGGAAGTAGTTCGCCAAGAGAAATGAAAGCACGTGTCCAAACAAAGTCCTGGACACGATGTTTACGGCACAAGGTCTGTTCCTAACAGCGCCCAACTGGAAACCACCCAGGTGTCCATCAGCAGGTGAGTGGTATGGCTACCATGGAATACCGCTCAGCAAGAAAAAGAAATGAACTGTTGAAGCATGCAACAACATGGATGAACTAAAATACCATGATGCAGAGTGACATGAACTGGGCAAAAGGCCACATACCATGTGGTTTCGTGTATATACAATTCTGGAAAAGGCAAAGCTAAGCAATAGTCAAAGCAGGTTGGTGAAATGAGCCTGGGGCTGGGGATGGGGAGACTGACTGCAGAGAATC